ATAAACTATTTTGTGGATGGTGACTGAAGTTGGCTTTTGTGCTCAAAGGGCACCTTTTCGTAACTAATGTTTTTCTGTTTCTAATTTTTTGCTTGCAGTGCAGTTTATAATATTCCTGCTATAATGTTGTATTCTGTTTGTTTTCCGTGCAGAAAGAAGGTGTTCCTATATTGGCATCTTTTCTACGCAAGAATCACCGTGCTTTGAAGCTAAGTACACTACTATGTTTAGATGTACTTGTCAAGAATTATGGTAAGACATGTAGATAAACAAAGTAATCTGATGATATGGCCACTGGAGGCCGATCCATAAACTAATTACTGTAAAGGGGGTAATTATTCACAGGGTTTTAATTTAGCTTATTTCGCTGACTGGAAAATGCGCTAAATTAAAACCCAGTGAGTATGTAAAATTTAGCATAGAACACATTATCTAAATGACGAAACCGTGAATTTAAAACCCACTGAATATGCCTGAAATGGTAAATCAGTGAAATTTAAACCCAGTGAAAATTAATCATTTTACAGTACTCAGTGAGTTCTAATAACGCTGATATGACAATATAATTAAAACAGAACTCATTATTTCATTTTTCAGCAGTAAGTTAAAAAAAAAATTCTTACCAAATTAATGATAATGCATGTGTGGTTATTATATTGATACTATATAAATCATATCCATTATTTATAGATATGATTTATTATTTATTACTGTACAAGGTGTTAACCACAGTTGTCACTAAAAAAAGACAATTAGCGAGTCTGTATGACAAGCTTTCCCATGCTCATGTACGGTAGCATTCATGACAAATGTTACTACAGGTAGTTTGTACATAAGATTATGTCAACCCCTGGTATGCTAGCAAGACAAGTGTTTCTACAGGTAGTCTGTACGAAAAAACGGTAATGTAGCATTGCCCCATTCATTTAGCTTTTGGTACGCGTGCAGGACAAACGTTTCTACAGTCAGTTCATACAAGAAATGGTCATGTACCATGCTTATTTTCACTTCACTTTGTACATAATAACAACATGTAGAGTGCTTGGTATGCATGTAGAACAAACGTTTCTACACTGATTTCCTACAATGAACAGTCACACTATTCTGTCCTCTGTTGTATTCCTATTCTACATCATTTTCCCATAATTGTTGTTTCAGGTCCTGCTTTGTCAAGTTCAATGATAGATGGCGTAGTGGAAGAGTGTCCGCCATTGATCAATGAAAGTGATTTACATGTCTCGCAGGTAATGTGCCCGCCATTGATTAATGACAGTGATTTACATGTTTCTCAGATAACATGCCCACTATTGATAAATGAAAGTGAGATTTACACATCTCAGGTCAGATGCCCGTCATTGATCAATGAAATGATTTACACGTCTCTCAGATAACTTGGTCATTACAATGTTGCGAGGTATCATATACAATCTTAGAAGCAGTCCTCCAATGACAACATTATACATGTTATTATTGCATTGTTCTCTGTGTTAATCTTGGTAGTACTAAGTATAATTAGCTCGACATCTGCTTCTCTCTTCTAACTGCTTGAAGTTCAAATTGGGGTTATAATACTTTCTTTTTATTCAGTTGACAATGAACTTGTTGACATCCATATCAAAAATGCACAGTAGCTGCATGTCAAGGATCGACAAAACTATATTACCAGAAGTGTTTATTCTCGTCAGGTCTCCTCTGCTGCAAGGTAAGTCATCTCAGTAATACTATATTTATTTAATAAACTTCAAATCAGGAAAGATTGCAGGTGGCCATCTGTATAGTCAGATTTAGGCTTCACGAAATACAGGATAAGTTTTAAGCTAATTTTGTATGTATGCATATTGGATAGACAAATGAATTGATGCACAGAGAAAACTTTGGTTAGCATGGCTAAGGATCTAGACTGTGTCTTGAACCAGGCCGGATTTAGCTTGCAGTTTCTTAGCATGGGCTCAGGAGTCTAAAACATTGTGTGCAAATGTGACAATGGCCAAGTACTTGAGTTGTCAAATACAAACTTGTTAAGATTAGTGTGGAATTTATTAGCAGTGGCACTCAGTCGAAAGACTAATTTAAAAATCCATGCATAAAATATTCTGTTGAAGTATGACTGCCTGAATGTTTCACTATGAAATTTAGTAGTCTAGTAATCACCACAAATACAAACATTGATTTAAGACAAAACAAGTGTGATTTGTTTAATTGGTAATTTGCCAATTGTTTTGAATTGAATATAAAGAGTACATGCATCTCATGTTATTGTTATCATAATACAGGGTTTAAAATTATGCCTCCTGGACCCACTGATAGTAGAGAGGGCCACTATTCAGTGTTCTGTTCATGATAAAGATATAATTTTTCACTTTCTCATCAAAACATGCTGTGTAAAAATAAAAAAAATATTGAAGTGATATATTTTCTGGTAACAACTAACCTCATTCTTATAATTACTGTGCAGGCAGTGCATTGAATGCAATGTTGGAGTTTTTTGAAGCACTCGTCATAACTGGATCTCCCAACACTGGGTTTAGAGAGCTCTTACAGGTAAATGCAGGTGTTTGCATGTAATACTGTAAAATACTTTATTTTCACTTGGGATTTATTTTTGCTGAATTGATCATTCAGTAAAAATAATATAATCCAGCGAATATACCTTTTCTCTATAGTTTACATGCAAATCAGTGAAAATCAAATCCATACGAAACACCAAAGGTTTTTCAGCAAAAGTTAATTCTAGCTGGAATAAAGTGTTTTACAGTATTGGGTTATGAAACAAGACTGGTACCGCTTTTGCATTATTAGTAGTGCATACATTTAAATAAATTTTGAGCTCTTTTTATTGCCAAAATAAGTAGTATTTTCAGGATTCAGAATACAACTAAAGTTGATTATTTTGTTCACAAATACATGTATATGTGCTTCTATCAGTGATGTACTTCTAATAGAGCAAATATGGTATTAGTTGTTATTAGGGCATTTATCCATGTGATGTTTGAAACGTCAACATTCAGTACCACATTCATGACATAATGGATATAAATTTAGTTTCCGCTGATTTTACAAAAATGAAAAGCTAGTAATTGTTTATGTACCACGGTGTGAAATTCTTTTAACAATTTATTCAGGGATATCCGCAGTATTGATACAGTTTTCTGTTTGTTTTGTTTTCTTTTGGAAATTTGTATTGAATTGAATAAAATTTCTTTGTGTTTAGATGCTAATTAATCCTGTGTACAATCCAACACCGGCAACACAACCGATAAATTCACCATTTGCTGTGCATAAACAGGTAAGAAAGTTCATATTATTTACCGTAATCAGTTCTACTGGCAATCTTTCCAATTCATGTGTCAGGCATCATATACACACATTAGAATTAATTGTAAATAATGTACATGCATTTAACATGCATGTTGCATTAGCTTTTGACAT